CCTACTTCACCACTACATATTACCATCCTACTTCACCACTACATAATACCATTCTATTTCATCACTATACATTACCATCCTACTTCATCAGTTTACATTACTATCCTATTTCATCACTATACATCACCATCCTACTTCATCACTACACATTACCACCCTACTTCATCACTACATATTACCATACTACTTCATCACTATACATCACCATCCNGATTTCATATTACCATCCTACTTCATCACTACACATTACCATCCTACTTCATGATTTCATATTACTTCATCACTACACATTACCACCCTACTTCACCACTACATATTACCATACTACTTCATCACTATACATCACCATCATACTTCATTACTATAAATTACCATCCTACTTCACCACTATACAACACCATCCTACTTCACCACTACACATTACCATCCTACTTCATCACTACACATCACCATTTACTATACATTACCATTCTACTTCATCACTTCACATCACCATCCTACTTCATCACTACACATTACCATTCTACTTCATCACTACACATTACCACCCTACTTCACCACTACATATTACCATCCTACTTCATCACTATACATCACCATCATACTTCATTACTATAAATTACCATCCTACTTCACCACTATACAACACCATCCTACTTCACCACTACACATTACCATCCTACTTCATCACTACACATCACCATCTTACTTCATCACTACACATTACCATCCTACTTTATCACTTCAAATCACCATTCTACTTCATCACTATACATTACCATCCTACTTCACCACTACATATTACCATCCTACTTCATCACTATACATCACCATCCTACTTTATCACTACACATTACCATCCTACTTCCTCACTTTATATCACCATCCTACTTCATCACTACATATTACCATCCTACTTCATTACTATACATTACCATTCTACTTCATCACTTCACATCACCATCCTACTTCATCACTACACATTACCATCCTTCTTCATCAGTTTACATTACCATCCTACTTCATCACTATACATTACCATCCACTTCATCACTACACATTACCATCCTACTTCCTCACTTTATATCACCATCCACTATACATTACCATCCTACTTCATCACTTTATATCACCATCCTACTTCATCACTACATATTACCATCCTACTTCATTACTATACATTACCATCCTACTTCATCACTACACATTACCATCCTACTTCATCAGTTTACATTACTATCCTATTTCATCACTATACATCACCATCCTATTTCATCATTACACATTACCACCCTACTTCATCACTTCATATTACCATACTACTTCATCACTATACATCACCATCCTACTTTATCACTACACATTACCATCCTACTTCATCACTTTACATCACCATCATACTTCATCACTATACGTTACTATCCTACTTCACCACTACACATTACCATCCTACTTCATCACTATACATCGCTATTCTACTTCATCACTTTATATCACCATAATACTTCATCACTACACATTACAATTCTTCTTCATCACTTTATATCACCATCCACTTCATCACTACACATTACCATCCTACTTCATCACTATACATTACCATCCTACTTCACCACTACACATTACCATCCTACTTCACCACTATACATCACCATCTTTCTTCATCACTACACATTACCATCCTACTTCATCACTATACATTACCATTCTACTTCATCACTACACATCGCCATACTACTTCATCACTACACATTACCATCCTACTTCCTCACTTTATATCACCATCTTACTTTATCACTACATATTATCATCCTTCTTCATTACTTTACATCACCATCCTACTTCATCACTACACATTACCACCCTACTTCATCACTTAACATTACCATCCTACTTCATCACTATACGTTACCATCCTACTTCACCACTACGCATTACCATCCTACTTCATCACTCCACATTACAATCCTACTTCATCACTATACATCGCCATCCTACTTCATCACGTTATATCACCATACTACTTCATCACTACACATTACCACCCTACTTCATCACTACATATTATCATCACTATACATCACCATCCTACTCCATCACTACACATCACCATCCTACTTCATCACTAAACATTACCACCCTAATTCATCACTTAACATTACCATCCCACTTCATCACTATACGTTACCATCCTACTTCACCACTACGCATTACCATCCTACTTCATCACTACATATTACCATACTACTTCATCACTATACATCACCATCCTACTCCATCACTACACATCGCCATCCTACTTCATCACTACACATTACCATCCTACTTCATCACTATACATCACCATCATACTTCATCACTATACGTTACCATCCTACTTCACCACTTCACATTACCATCCTACCTCATCACTATACATCACCATCCTACTCCATCACTACACATCACCATCCTACTTCATCACTACACATCACCATCATACTTCATCACTATACGTTACCATCCTACTTCACCACTACGCATTACCATCCTACTTCATCACTACTCATCACCATCCTACTTCATCACTACACATCACCGTCCTACTTGATCACTACACATTACCATCCTACTTCATCACTACACATTACAATCTTACTTCATCAGTTTACATTACCATCCTACTTCATCACTATACATCGCCATCCTACTTCATCACTTTATATCACCATAATACTTCATCACTACACATTACAATCCTTCTTCATCACTTTATATCACCATCCACTTCATCACTACACATAACCATCCTACTTCATCACTATATATTACCATCCTACTTCACCACTACACATTATCATCCTACTTCATCACTATACATTAGCATCCTACTTCATCACTTCACATCACCATCTTACTTCATCACTACACATTACCATCCTACTTCATCACTACACATCACCATCCTACTTCATCACTACACATTACCATCCTTCTTTCTCACTTTATATCACCATCCTACTTCATCACTACACATTACCATCCTACTTCATCACTACACATTATCATCCTACTTCATCACTTTACATTACCATCCTACTTCATCACTATACGTTACCATCCTACTTCACCACTACACATTCCCATCCTACTTCATCACTATACGTTACCATCCTCCTTCACCACTACACATTACCATCCTACCTCATCACTATACATCGTCATCCTGCTTCATCACTTTATATCACCATACTACTTCATCACTACACATTACCATCCAACTTCATCACTATACATCACCATCCTACTCCATCACTATACGTTACCATCCTACTTCACCACTACACATTCCCATCCTACTTCATCACTATACATTACCATCTTACTTCATCACTACACATTACCATACTACTTCATCACTACACATTACCATCCTACTTCATCACTACACATTACCATCCTTCTTCATCACTTTATATCACCATCTACTTCATCACTGCACATTACCATCCTACTTCATCACAACCATCTATCGACATTGTTTGCCATATATTACCACTTTACCACATCAGCACACATCAGCATACGTAGGAAGCTTATTACAAGTTTTAAGATGTATCAAAGTTTATGCCATAGACCGAACGGTATATGATACAGAATGCAATGTATATATATGATGTACATGGAATACATGATCAATAATTAAAGGATTCTTAATTTGTTATCCTCAAAGATAAATTTCTTAAGATCTAACACTAAGTCAGCCTGACCTCAGTCTTTTACCGTTATGTTTCAGGCCCAGTTTATCTTGGTTATCTGCCATACCCTGTCGACGTTCCTATTTGTTCAGGACTGTGACTATCCGTCCCTAGCTGTTAAACTGGTTCTGTTCTACAACTTTCTGTTCCTGTGTCTGTTCATGGACTTCTACATAAAAACATACAAACGAAAAACAAAGCCCAAGGAAAATGATAAAATCGTATACATGAATGGACATGGACAGAAAGTACAGAACGGTCATATGGAAAACGGAAACGCTGTTAAGGTGGACTGATGGTTGCAGTGAATGCAGTATTCCTGAAGAGTTTCTAGTATCAGTTTTGCTATGTGGATTACAATACATAATCAGACAAGGGATATTTATCATTTTTTACTAGTTCGTCGACCACACTGTATACCGTGTTTCAGTAGAACATCGATGTGCCAGCGAATGAATACACACATGCTGATACAGTAGAAAAGGCTAGGTTTTCATTTTCAAAGGCCACTACTGTCTTTAAGAAACAGACAAACACATGAGCTGGAGAAGGGTATAGGGCATAAGTGGGCTTAGAGAAGGGATCCAAGACATGAGCAGGGGCCACACAATGAGTGGGCTGTATTGAAGGCTAAACGTGCAAGATGGGTAAGAGAAGGGACAAAACGTGCAGAGCGGTGTACATTAAGGTGCCAAATTTAGGCGAGCTAAAGAATGGACTAGCTTTGTGTGGGCTAGAAAAGGGACCAAACATATTTGGGTTGCAATAGGGGTCAAATATAAGTGGGATTGAGATGGGGACAAACAGTTTGTAGACTGGAAGAGTTACCACAAATGAGTGGGCAGAGAAGGGGCAAAATGTAAAACGTATGTGGGCCGGAATAGGAACCAAATAAATGAAGGCATAAGTAGGGTTTGGCAGTGTGTGGGCTGGATTAGGGACCAAGATACATGAACTGGTGTAGAAAACAAACAGATACTGACTAGACCAAACATGTATGAACAGTAGCTCAACATATGCGTGAGGGGGAGTAGAGGCTAAACCTCTGTGGGATGGAGCTAGACATTGTAAGAGTTAGAAAAGTGTCCAAATATACTTATTGGTAATTAACAAAATACTTGTGAATAATAATCTTACCAAAAACGTATCATATTTACCTGTGAAATTATCTCATATGACCAAAGGCCCTCATGTGCTTGTTAACAATATAGTGACTATCACTTTGTATGTCGTCTGAGTACTCTTGCCTTGTTTAGTGGTGTCAAACTATACACGTCATATCTATCATATCTTGCTCAAATATTTTCGAAATGATATTTGATGCGTTTGAAGTCAAATTGTTCAAATATGGCACATTTTTCTTAACTCAAACTCCTCTTTCTTCTGAAACACCTGATTGTTAATCTTGTCACTGCAGAGAAACTGCCACTGTTATAGACATTGTCACAACCTAGTACATTGAAAATACATAGTTACCAACTCATTAGGAGAGAAGTTAAATGACAGAACTGGAAGGAACTTTCGAATACTCGTGATACTTATTATCACTTAATGGCATATCATTGTTGAATAAATTGTTAGGTTAAAATAAGATAATAAGAATAGTAACACAAAATATAGCTTAAGCTAGGAAAATCATCTTACGGTTTTGAAATCTATCGAAGAACTAAAAATTAAGTGATTGGCTTGTTTCCGTATTTCGTATTATTAACAGCTATATATATTGTAATCTAAGGGCGGGCCAGGTTTTGATGGTGGATGGAAACTGGTGTACCCGGAGAAGAATACATCATGAAACATTACAAAAAAAGTTATGTAACGCTTTTTCTCCACATGAACTGTGTAAAATAGTAAAGTACATTTAATTACAAATTCAAATAATAAACCTCCCGATTAATCTTCTCTAAATGATAATGACTCTCTAGCTACCATCCCCCCGAGTAAAGCTCGATAGTAACTCGTTTAGTTTTGAATATTCATTTACCTTTCCAAAATTGTCATTTCTGATTAATTCATTCAATATCCAAACGAAAAAGCTGCCTAAATAAGATAATGTTATTCACCAATATCTTCTTAACTTATCAGCATCCTGCGTCTATTGTGACTGAGCAAACAACAAGGATGAGAACATGTTATTAACGAAGGACGCTTTGGCAAGAGTCATTTATTTTCCAATATTTCCTTATCCTGAGTTAAATTTTTCACCGTAATATACAAATATTGATATTGACCACATAAAATTGTGTTGTTTTTTTGTGTTTTCCTCAGTGTCTATTTCGTTTGTCAAGTAATGCCTCATTTATATTTCACAAGCAAGCTGATTTCACAACTGATTTAATCATTTCTTAATTCTGCGTTCAGTGATCATGTTTTGTGTACTTTAAAGTGGACGTATTTGGAAACTTTCAGAGTTACACATCCACGCGTGTACTCTCTACGACAATATTATCTGTTTATCACCAGTCAAATACAGCGAATTTGAATACGTTTTCAATTAGGGAGGCTTTTTCGAAGAGCAATGCACGAGCATGGTTTACTGGGCAAAATAATTTATGCACGTGCATATAATTTTGTCAAATAATACGTGATAAATACTATTTGTAAATTTAAACATTTATTAGAAGCAGGTATTTTCCCTTTATTGTCCAAATGTTGTGATTGAAAGTAATATATTTAAGGAAAAGATGCATTAAATCGTGCTCAACTAGAGTTTCCACCTCATGACCTGAACAACCTACCAGAAAAGAAAATCCTAATGTTTTCAGTATTTTATGTGAATGGCTCATAAATATTTTATATAATTTTGTCTGATTAGCTAATGCAAAGCTCATTTTCAAATATATTACCGTTTGTTCAGTTCAATGAAAGTAACAGCCAAAAATATGCGCTCGTGGTTAGCTTCGTTAACATCTTCAGTTGATGACGTCACATAGTTTTATTGCTTTCGCGGAAAACTCCGCCTACATGTATTGTTGTCGAAGTCATGGAAGCTTGTGACGTTCTATAGTCAGGTTTAGAAAAACTAAACATAATTTGCGGAAACAATTGTTTACTGAGTAAATGTCAGTGTAGACTGTATGTATAAAGGAAAAGTAACCGCCTGAACAATTAGGCTCCCATCCTTCCCCTGGTAATGCAGCGTAATGAATATCAGACTTATTTCTATGAATTATGTTTATAACCATATCATTAATGTTTAAAACATTCTTTGTTCTTCATAACTTGTTAGGTGTTAACTTTAATTTGTTTGTAACTTAATTTAATTTCGTATGTTGATATTTCTGATGGATGGGGTAAACAACTTTAGAAATAAAGAATTGAACAGGAAGACAATACACTCTACTTTCGGTAGATTTGGCATGAAATACATATACAGATCAAACTTGTATAGCAGGCGACAAAACATCTATAAGATATCCATACGTACCCATGCATACATCATTCCACTAATTCATTCAAATATCCATGTACATAACTCAATAAGACACGCGTTATGCGCATAAATCTTAAATGAGGAATTGTGCTGGAAGATGATTGTTTAGTAGGAAAAGTGTGTATCAGATTTACATTGACAAAATCTCAACATATTAACAAACTATAAATTACCATCATACACTCATATCAACTGACCTGGCCTAGGTAACAAGATACTGTAATCACGGGTTTATTATAGTGAAATATTTCACAATATCATATCGACTTGCAGACAAATGCAGTAGTATTTACATAATGTATTTGTTATGTTAGAAAACATTGAAATTGATACACTGTAAATGTATGGTTTTTTGTTTTTTGTTTTTTTGTATGTGGTACACTCTCGTCGGTATATTTTTTTTTATTAGATTCGTTAAAATAGACCCATTCATTCTATACATGCTTAGTCATTTCTCCATAAGTATTTTTTTCAATGGTATATTTCCATGCATATAACTCATTTAAACCACTTAAACTCAGCCATTGTGATTTTAGTCAAACAATATATATATATTGAAGTGTTTTATATACATGATTATAAAATTAGTGGGTAAAGATATATTTCTAGTCTCTTTCATTTAAAATCTATTAATTTTCTTTTTTCACTGACGATATTTCCAGGGAAAAGAAATTATGTGGTTTTAATGTTCATATTACAAACATAACCTTTTGAAACACTTATAGTTTTCAAACTGGTGTTCAGATGATGCGATTTTGTAACCGGTAGTAAAACCTCTGTAATAATGTACATATTTTACTTTTGAAGTAATATTATAAGAATTTGTTTATATTACTGAAAATATATTTTATTTGCCATCTCCATTCAGCAGTATTTATTATACAGTGAGTTTTGTAAATGACATTGGGGTCGTATATACTCACGCAAGTGTTTGTGTAGTTGTCCAGCTCCAAAACCACATTGAATTCCACACAAATTAATTAACTTTGATTGTTTTCATTAATATTTTCTCCCGATATGTTTTTTTTATATATATATATATATATAGGTAGTCGGGCGATCTGTATTTGAACCACATCAAGACGTTAAATAATATTTATCTACTTTTTTCAATTGTTATAACGATAACTAATACTTTACCTTTTGTGTCATTCCATTGATTGTGAATTTGGAATTCATAATTAAAATCTGAATTATCAAAACGTATACAATCTCCCCTGGAAGTATTTCTGTAAGAATTTAAACGTTTATGTTAATACTTTAACTATATTCCTTATTTTACTTTTTACCCGTTAAATGTGTATTTTGAAGACTTTGTAGTTAGTTTTGGTTTTAAGTAATTAAACATCTTTTTATCTTTTTTTATCTAAATATCTTCATTTAACGGGTGTGACTTTAATGCTATTTGGCATAGCACTGTTTCTTCCTGATGTTCTAAAATCTGTGTTAAATTATGGAATGCAATAAACTAACAGAAATGAACAAACCCGAGACATCTTTTTGATTTATAACTTTGATCAGGATAGAAAGCTTTGATTTGTTTTACTGTGATGTCAGTTTGATAGTATTCGTGTTTTAAAACTGTAGTGGTACCCTGGGTGTCATTTCTGTACTTGCTCTATATTATAATGAAATAGCTGGCAGTAACATGCAATAATCAGCTCTTTGCTGGTTGACGATACCTCCTTAGCTTGTTTGTGAGTGCAGAATGCTGTTTCTATACTGTGTATTTAAACACGGACAATGCCATTTATAAAGAATATCTAACTTCAGATTAGTGATATATTTTATATTGAAGTTTTTCTATTGAACAATATATAAACATGATCTGTGTATCGTGTGTCATTTGTCTATATACTGTGTTGAATGTGTGTGTCGATATTTCAGTTACTTGGGAAGCAACATACCATCGCTCTATGGAATATGTAGTACACCAAGGGCCTATAGAGATAGTATATAGGCCCTAGATAATAACAAACAGACAGTAAATGAGAGAGGGCAGCTATACACTTCACCATCTGTCACCAGAATGTAATTATAACCAATGCACAAACGGCAAGGTGGGTGCCTCACTGCAGTACGTGTATATTGTTGTAAACATGATTTGGAGGTAAATATATACGAATTGGTTCGCAGACTGACATCATAGTTTAGTGTTATTATAACATGGAGTGTGGGGGAAATCCTCTAACTTTTTCTTGTATCGTTGATATAGATGACGAGATAGTACATTAAGTCACACATGTATTATTTGTGAATGTCATGAAATTTACATAGAAATAGATATCCCTTACAAAACTGATATATCAAGATACTGTCTGTTACAGCTCTCATACCATCCTAGATTACAGGCCTAGCCCGAGTCTCCTCTGCCACTAACACCAGACTTAGACATTTTGACAAGATTCAAGATTCAAGATTTTTTATTACGCTCTGACACACAAAGTGTGTAACAAGAGGTCAAACAAAATAACATAAATCAAATAAAACATGACAGAGAGAGTAGATGTGGGTTTATCAGACATCATAATGTCAAAATGTCAAAGTCTGGTGTTAGGGCCAGAGAAAACTCGGGCTAACTACAGGCCATGCTACACAATATAGCGTCCGATACAACGATATTCAACGTCCATACAAATCCTATCAATACACTGAGTTTCAGTGTCATATTCAATATTTATACATATGTTTAAAATTTCAGTGTAAGAAAATTATTAAATCGTCATTAAAACAAAGGACTTCTTCAGAATCGACAACACACACACTTTGGATTATCGAAAGACAAATTCTGACCAAGCTGAACATTTGGTGAAAATTTCCGTCTTGCTATACGTCAACGTCTGATTATGTTTTAAGTTTGCAAATTTAAAGTGCACGTGATGTTGTAATACTGTGATGTATGAAACCTACTGTCAAATGCGGAGAAGATGAAGGTGTTGGTACTTTGAAAACGCAAATGTTAGCATAAAAATACAAAACAATTTTGTCTACCTCAAGGTTAAAAAAACCCATTCTAATTGACTTGTAATTCTGTTTTTTAGTACTGATTCAAAACATGTGTTACGAACATACATTTGTGTGTAATTCGTATAACATGTTCATTCCAAATTTTGTAATTGTGGTTTGCAGTCTTCTACTCCAAGTTTACAATCTGCTAATGATAACAGTATCGCTAGAGATACATTGTATCTGCTATGCTTAGAATGACGACTTTTTATTATATGTTATTGACTATCTCTTCACTTCATTAGCCAAATGTAGAGAGCGCTCACGTTTCACATTGTTTCAAAAGGCAAGAATATATTATTGGAACCTTTGAAAAATCATGATAGGGTTTAATTTTTAGGGTCAAGATCCTGTTAATAGATATTTACAATAAAATACTGTCAGGAAAAGGTTGATGGACTTATTTCTAGAAGGAAAGAATACTGACATTCAAAGGGCTTTCCGTGGTGAGTTATTTGACTGCGTTAACATATCGGACTTATCTGTCTGCAGGTAAGGGTTGAACGTATCCAATGATCGAATATGATGATGGGAATGTACTCTATACAAAAACTGCTCATTAATGAGTTTTTATGTTATGAGTACATAAAAATGTGAAATAGAATTCTGCCTCGTGTTGGAAACGCAACTGTAATCACACTTGACAATATAATGTATAGATGTATATGTATGTTTGCTGTGTTAATACGTTCTGATACAACAAATTATACAATTTGCTGTGTTTATACATTCTGATACAACAAATCATACATTTTGCTGTGTTTATACATTCTGATACAAGAAATTATACAGTTTGATATTTTTTACATATGATAATAAACAATAAAATGATAATAAAATGTAATTATATGTATCTGTTATTTGTGAGGTACAGCTAGTTATGTGTGAATAAGCGCTGGAATAATATTGCCAGCAAGTCTGCAACTGGCTTTTATTTCGGAGCGCATCTTATAGTTCAAAATATTCTATCATATTGAATGAGTATCTAATACTACTTATCATGATATATCTTTTGCATCAGTATTTTCGTAATACTTATTTGATTACTGCCTTTGTAAATGTTATATCAACCCAAGGAGAGAACTTGTACAGGCCTACCCTTCTGTTCTATCATATTGTTTACTCAATAAAATCTGATGAAATAAGCGCTGGAGATTAAACAATGGTATATCTTTGCAGTCGACCTCTCAATATAAATCTTCAATTTGTTTATCTGTTGCCCTATGTTCAAGTCGATCACGTTTTTGTTGACATTTTACTGTAATAATTAAAGAAGAATTCCTTTCCAACCATCTCGAAAACCAACAGAAGATAAAATGTATCCTATATCATTTGCCCCATAATACTTTTTTCTATTTTTTTTTTTTAATAAATTAATATTTAAACCAGTACCTGATCTTTCTGTACTTTCTTATAAATTCACCTTAGCAACTTTCTAATTAAATTGTTGCACGTAAACTAATTTACATCAGGAATCTTCATACAGACATGTAAGTGTACCTTTTCAGTATTCAAACCTTACGAGGATCCAAACACTTCAGGAACGTGTTTAAGAAAGACAGATGTGCGGACGCCAAATGGTAAAATTAAAATAAAGTTAAATCCATCTTGAATTTTGGTATTTTTCTCCAGTAGATTGAGTTATGAACTTTTTCATTAAAACAATATGAGATGTGAATTTCATTATAAATTATTAAGATACAAACAATAATAAAACTAGATAATCGACTTTTGTTTAATTATAAACGTCATCAATTCGTTGCTTTGCAATCTAAATTCATAAAAATATCAGCATAT